TGCCCCTCCCTCCCCCCCCCCCTCGAGCCAAGTTAAACTACATGTAGTAGTTTGAATGAGTTCGTGCAGAGCCTAGTCTACGTCTGCGGACACGCACTTACTGTGACCTTGTCGTTCCCAATGTCGTATGGCAAGCTCCACTCGTCCAAGCCCAGGGCTCCCTTCTGCAGATCCTGGTGCTCCACGTCCAGATCACCGACTCGCGTGAAGATCTCGGGGTGGCGTTGGCCTTCCCTAGCCGATTCGACCAGCACAAGTCGATAGGTGAAATGAACGGGCTTCGGAATCACCTCCATCAATACTTCGTTTGGCAGTGACGGCTATCTGTAATCCAGCTTCATTCAGCGGAATATCATCATAAGAACGACAGTTAGGTCGTGCACAGGTACTCGGGTAGCTTTCTGGGGGAACGCGATACAAGGTAACTCCGACCCTGTGCCTTGCAGGCAATGCATGAACAGAGGTGCCTCCCGTCGAGCTGAAGTCCCCTTGCATTCGCGTCAATCAGCTTCTCTGGTGAATGGAAGTCCGACAACGCTCACACGCGCGCGTGGCCAGCAGTGGGGATTATAACTGCAGCTCCCTCTTCACCTCAGAATTACTTGATTTTCGATGGTAGCGGAAACTCAGCATGTATTTGGTGGGACTAGTCCCTGCGTAGATATACTCGCCCCCATCATCATGATCGTGCCGTGGTCAACACTTCGACCTGGGCCTCGTGTAGATTATAAACAGTAGAATGATTCTACAGTGCTGGCAACTGAAATCCGGCCCCTGAGCGGTGTGTTCACACTCTAGCGATCTCTATTTTCGTAGTTTTACTATCCCGTGTTGGGTCTTTTTGCGATGTGAGCGGACCTCTCAGTACAGGGGTCGGATTTCAGTTGTCAGCACTGTACAACCAGTCAGCGGAGTGGGGTCTCGTGGGCCGTGGTCGCCCGCCAAGTGTCTCGGCACTGGGGAGTCGGCAGTCAGTGAAGCACTGAACTAACTACTTGAAGGCCAGGCCGGCTCCCGAGTCCCGTGTCTGTATGGCGTCTGGACGGAATCCAGTCAGACTCGCAGAAACATGTACACAATCATGATGTATGCGTGGATCTAGTTCAGTACTAGTTGGTTGAAGAAAGTGAGGTCGAAGTGCCATGCCGTGACTGGATAGGTTCAAAGATTAAGTACTCGAAGGATGGCAGATGATGGAGCAGTCGGCACTTGTCCCCAACAGCTCTGTTGAGATCTGCTGCCATGGCTGGTATCAAGAGTGCAATGCTCCTCATTTTAGTTCATCATGCAGTGAGTGTTCAATAGTAAAAAAAAAAAAAAAAAAAAATGCACACACAATGACATGTACGTTTAACCGCCAGGCCCAGGGCCTAGGGCTATGAACTAGTTACTTTACTTTTTATGGCGGGCTGGACTAGAGACTACACTTTAGTAGAAGTAAGTATAGTGTAGACTGTAGTGCAGCCGTCTTGCGTTTCCTTTTGATCTTGTCTCTTATTGTTGTGACCTTTCCACAATATTGTGTTGCATTGTCTAATAAAATAAAATAAATCTTGCGTTCATCATGTGATTCCGAGACAGCAATCTTATTCTGCAGCAGTGAGTCATGAAAGCCTTTTAGGCTTTACTGTCTTTCACGACATGACTGTGATGATGATGTACAGTATGTAGAGTAGGTGCATGTAGAATCCACATGGTAAGAGTTTGAAAGCATGCTACAACTCAATTACTTCGGCCGAAGGATACTAGTAAACTGTGTTGAAAACATTGCTCATCGTCGGTAGGCAGGGCGCTGGTCTTGACGACCATTTGAACCGTATGGGGTCTGGCCCCGGTTCGGACCCTCATTATACCATTACCCGGGAGTCAGTGGCGTCCGTTGTGTGCCTGCCCGCTCGTTGTTGGAAAAAGAAAAGAAAGAAAGAAGAAGGAATAGAACAGACACAAGGAAACATCCAAATACAAGCTCACAACCCATCACAGGGACCCCACTGGTGGACGCCAGACTGAGTGAAGTGATGTCGCAGAGCTGGGAAGGAATGGAGATAGCATACAACCGATCTAGATCTGAGTGGTCCACACATGCAGTCGGTCAACCATGCTGTTATGGTGATGTGCAGAGCAAAGGCAGCCGTAAGCTGTCCTCTGGCTCTCAGCATGACGAAAGGCGCAATGAAGCACATCGGTGGGTCCAACAGGGAATCCAGTATCCCATCACTAATCAACAGTGATGGACGAGAGGTACGATCCTCACACACACACACACACACACACACACACACACACACACACACACACACACACACACACACACACACACACACACACACACACACACACACACACACACACACACACACACACACACACACACACACACACACACACACACACACGCACACACACACACACACACACACACACACACACACACACACACACACACACACACACACACACACACACCTTCCTTCCTTCTTCTCCACTGCCATGACTGGCTAAGTGGCCCCATACGGGGCAGCTCTTGGATTAGCGCTGTCTCCGGGAAGCGGCACCAGGACCCGACGACTGACGTGACGGCGCATTCCCACGGGTTATAATTGCTATTGAACGCCGCGATGTACAACGATGCCGTGCGATATCCTGACGGCGGCGGAAACTGCGGTTGCACACACCGCAAAGCAGAGGCTTGTCGACAGGCTCTTGACGGGCAAGTACAATACGATCCACCCCATCAAGGCACTGGGACTTCCACTCACGGCGATTACTTGCCACGTCGAGCCAGGAATTGGGCTCAATGCCAATTGCCGCCAGGTCGGACACACACACACACACACACACACACACACACACACACACACCACACACACACACACACACACACACACACACACACACACACACACACACACACACACACACACACACACACACACACACACACACACCTCAGACATGCCCATCGTGGAAGCGATGATAGCGAACAGCTATGTTACTTGTTAGACATAGCAACTTGTGCTGGGATTACACCATTCAACAGCTTGCAAGGCTGATGAATTGACCGCCACTATTTTTAGCCTGGTATCCACCACACAACTGTTTGAAGTGACTTTTTCTGGCCAGTGAATCCCTATTTTTCATTTTTTTCCATTTTTCTACACACACACCACACCACATACTCCGTCCGGCATACACTGGCTGACACACACACACACACACACACACACACACACACACACACACACACACACACACACACACACACGCGCGCGTGCGCGTGCACGTGCCCACACGCATGTGCACACACCATCACCACCACCACACATACTCTCACACACACACACACACACACACACACACACACACACACACACACACACACACACACACACACACACACACACACACACACACACACACACACACACACACACACACACACACACCATGTACCATGTATACGCCCGTTGCAAGAGAAGCACGCAAATCTGCAAATGCACTGGATGTGCACCCATTGATTTTCTCTATAGCAACGATAGCGACAAGATGTGAATGAGACAGATCAAGACTAGCGTCAGAGAACTGTCTAATCCACAAAACTGGCGAAGCCATGTGCATCGACCACCAATGCACACCTGGTCTACACCACACGGAGTACATCGGCATAAAACGGCCGAGATAGTTACCTATGTACACCCTACACTTGCTGGGGTAACCAGTATACACACACACACACACACACACACACACACACACACACACACACACACACACACACACACACACACACACACACACACACACACACACACACACACACACACACACACACACACACACACTACTACTACTACTACTACTACTACTACTACTACTATTGACAGCTGCCAGAAATGGCCACGCCGCTCCCCAAAGGGAGGTACTGTCAGAGAGGTTAGGGGAGAGGTAGGCAGTGCTTCAAATGGCGCTCCAGGTCCTGTCGCCTCCGAAACTGGCGTTGACTACAGACTCGGCAATGATGTTCAAAGTGCTGGCGATCAGTCACTGTAGGGCGCTTCGGGCGGGGTCCACAGCGATGGCGCTTGAGGCCAGCAGTAGACTTGAAAGTACGCTGGCAGGCAGTACACACCGGGACCTCGGCAACAGGAGGAGCATCAAAAGGCACACACACACACACACACACACACACCTGGTCCTGGTAAACACTGCCATTACGGTCACGTGTCCCCTTACGGGGCCGACAATATAGAACGACGAGCGGGACCACGTTCGAGAGAGCCATCTCCAGCAGCTATAATAATAAATAATAATAAAACAGGTCGCGTAATGAAGCAGCATAACGATAGATGTGCAAAGTCATGATGCCTGGTCCGCTTCTGTCCTGGGTTCACTACCCCGTGCGTTGCAGCCGCGAGCAAAACCAGCTCAGGCTGAGAGTTCCCTCCATGATTGCTTGTCCAAAGCGCGCATTCTGAGCCCACTCAGATCAGTCATGGTCTTCAGTGGCATGTCTCTGGCAGCTGTGCTTGCCTTGACTGCCGTGGCCAGGTTCGATTTCGGGCGTCCACGCACACCGGTGACATCTCGACGGAAGTAGTTGTCCATTGCCTGCTGTGGCGGGGCATCTGAGGGCATCCTCAGAACATGACCCAACATCCGGAAACGGCGGACAGCAACGGTGTGCGAAAGTGGCTGTGTGTGTGCTCTGGAATATAGGTCTTTGTTGGAGATGATGGCGGGATACCTAATTCCGAACAAGTTCCGTAGTTGACGTCTATGGAAGGCGTTCAGCTTCTCCAGTGCAGCCTCTGTCAGTCCCCAGGTTTCGCAGTTGTATAACAGTGTTGGTAGGACGATGGCATTGTAGAGACGAAGCCTGGTTTCCTCGGATACAAGTTGACGTCGTATCCAGAGCGAATACATGCGGCCATACGATGTTGATGCTTGGTCCATTCGTCGGCTCAAGTCCTCCTCTTCCCCCAAGAGATAGCCAAGTTGCTTCGATCTTCGCCATTCGGTGGTGGAGGCAGAGATGTGAAGCCACTCTGTTTTGCTGCTGTTAACGTTGAGTGACCAGTCACCCAGGCCGTCAGCTATCACGGGTAGGGAGTTGGCAAGCCATTGTCGCTCAGTCGAATAGAAGGAAATGTCATCGGCATATCCTGTTTCCTGTGGTATTGCTGCATCAGTGTCTGGCCGTGGTGGTAGTTTGCTTCGAGTCTCCCTCAGTGCTGCTTCCAGATAGCAAACAAACAGAACCGGGCTCAGCCCATCACCCTGTGGTGTACCTAGCGTGCTAACAAACGCCTCCGCTGAATTGGCACCCACTTTCACAGAGAGTGTTGTACCATACAGCAAATGGTGAATCAGGCAAGCCTCGTCAGGTCCGGTAATCTCTGACATAACAGCAAGGAGCTTTGTGCGGCTAATGGTGTCGAATCCAGCAGCTATGGATCTGGCTTATCATCGGAAACAATTCCTCTCACGGCTGCCGCTAGAACTGGTCCATCACTCTCCACAACAGAGCGAACATTCCATGAGCCAACGCTCTGAGTCGTTCCAAGTCGTCGTCTTCGTGCGGTAGTTTGCTCCTCTCGCGGGCTTGCAAAGCCTCGCGAAGGACTCCGAGGTGGGGGCGACGAGGAGAGTGTCGGCATCGTAACTATCCAACCAAGTCTCCTGTCGGTGAATACCCCACCTCAGGCACTGTTGGCTTCGACGGCTGGGGACACCCCAGGCCGTCCACAAAGGCGAGAACAAGCACGGACGGAGGCCAGAAACAAGAGCCCGAAAAAGTACAACCGTCCTCCACCAGAGCAGAGAACACACACACACACACACACACACACACACACACACACACATACATACACACACACACACACACACACACACACGTGTACACACACACACGGACACACACACACACACTACACGCATGCTACAATGTCAATGTACTGTGAAAAGTCCAGGAGAAGAACTTCATAATAATTCTATTAGCCCCATCCCTCACACAAACAAGTCAACAAAGAGGCATCTTTGGATTGAGGAGTGCTGGTTTCGAAACAACTGGTTTGAAGCTCAAAGTAGAGCTGGTGTTAGCTCAGAGCAGAGCTGGTGTTAGCTCAAAGTAGAGCTGCTGTTAGCTCAAAGTAGAGCTGCGGTTAGCTCAAAGTAGAGCTGCGGTTAGCTCAAAGTAGAGCTGCTGTTAGCTCAAAGTAGAGCTGCGATTAGCTCAAAGTAGAGCTGCTGTTAGCTCAAAGTAGAGCTGCTGTTAGCTCAAAGTAGAGCTGCTGTTAGCTCAAGGTAGAGCTGCTGTTAGCTCAAAGTAGAGCTGCTGTTAGCTCAAAGTAGAGCTGCGGTTAGCTCAAAGTAGAGCTGCTGTTAGCTCAAAGTAGAGCTGCTGTTAGCTCAAAGTAGAGCTGCTGTTAGCTCAAAGTAGAGCTGCGGTTAGCTCAAAGTAGAGCTGCTGTTTAGTTAGCTCAAAGTAGAGCTGCTGTTAGCTCAAAGTAGAGCTGCTGTTAGCTCAACGTAGAGCTGCAATGCTAAATGGATGTAATATAGCGCAAGGCAGAGCCGCAGCAAATAGCTAGATAACACCAGTTGTGAGAGTGGACCCGGTTAGTGGGTACGATAATATTATGATGGTGTGAATAAGTTGGATAGGGAGGGATGGTAAGAAAGGGTTTGCTCCCACACCGGAGCTCGCGCTATTCCGCCGACTTTACTTGACACTTGACTGACTCACGACTGCCATCCAGAGCACACGAGAAGTCCATCGAACCTTCGACTCGGCAAACCTGCAAGAAAGCACCACTCCCTGCTCAATACACAGTGTTTCGGGGAATTCACCCCTCATCAGTTGAGCTTGAGTAGGCTGAGGAAGATTGTGCCTGAAGAGCACCACTTATATAGTGCTCTCCAGGCACAAACATCACCAGGGACACAGACTTACAGAGACGCTCCATTTCCAGCGCGACAAACACCTCGTGAACACCCGAGATAGCAGCGTGAGTCAGTGTCGCTCCTGGACGGTGAGACAGACGTCGAGGACCCTCGGTCATTCGCAACGCTGTCACCTCCAAACCAACTAGTCGCAAGCCCGCGCTGGGCACAACAGTACGAAGTAGTGGTTGCGACTTCGGCGATAATTTGTAAGAAAGGGTTTGCTCCCCACACCGGAGCTCGCGCTATTCCGCCGACTTTACTTGACACTTGACTGACTCACGACTGCCATCCAGAGCACACGAGAAGTCCATCGAACCTTCGACTCGGCAAACCTGCAAGAAAGCACCACTCCCTGCTCAATACACAGTGTTTCGGGGAATTCACCCCTCATCAGTTGAGCTTGAGTAGGCTGAGGAAGATTGTGCCTGAAGAGCACCACTTATATAGTGCTCTCCAGGCACAAACATCACCAGGGACACAGACTTACAGAGACGCTCCATTTCCAGCGCGACAAACACCTCGTGAACACCCGAGATAGCAGCGTGAGTCAGTGCTTCGCGAGCTCCGGTGTGGGGAGCAAACCCTTTCTTACAAATTATCGCCGAAGTCGCAACCACTACTTCGTACTGTTGTGCCCAGCGCGGGCTTGCGACTAGTTGGTTTGGAGGTGACAGCGTTGCGAATGACCGAGGGTCCTCGACGTCTGTCTCACCGTCCAGGAGCGACACTGACTCACGCTGCTATCTCGGGTGTTCACGAGGTGTTTGTCGCGCTGGAAATGGAGCGTCTCTGTAAGTCTGTGTCCCTGGTGATGTTTGTGCCTGGAGAGCACTATATAAGTGGTGCTCTTCAGGCACAATCTTCCTCAGCCTACTCAAGCTCAACTGATGAGGGGTGAATTCCCCGAAACACTGTGTATTGAGCAGGGAGTGGTGCTTTCTTGCAGGTTTGCCGAGTCGAAGGTTCGATGGACTTCTCGTGTGCTCTGGATGGCAGTCGTGAGTCAGTCAAGTGTCAAGTAAAGTCGGCGGAATAGCGCGAGCTCCGGTGTGGGGAGCAAACCCTTTCTTACAAATTATCGCCGAAGTCGCAACCACTACTTCGTAGGGAGGGATGGTGGGAAAAGAAACACTGCTGAAGCACGATCCGTTGTCTGGAAGAGCACAACAGGGCAAGCAAGATTTGTTTTTCTTTTCCGCAAAAATGGGCTGGTGCCATTTGTGATTACGCAGCAAAACAAAGCGCATGACGTCAGTCTTGAATGCAGTACAAAGCAATGCAGTGCAGTGTGTGCGCTAGTTCGGATTGTTGCTAACAAGTACTAGCACAGCTAGTACACCAGTAAACTACTTTGCTTGCGATACACACACACACACACACACACACACACACACACACACACACACACACACACACACACACACACACACACACACACACACACACACACACACACACACACACACACACACACACACACACACACCTTGACCTTTACCTTTGACGCCCATCGCCGGAGGCGATGATAGCAATGCTACGGCAGAAGCCATAGCACACACACACACACACACACACACACACACACACACACACACACACACACACACACACACACACACACACACACACACACACACACACACACACACATACACTGTACTGTACTTGCTCACTGCCATGACTGGTCACGTGAGATTCAAAAGGAATCTTGGAAAGATGACTCAATTGGCCATTGAACCGCCCAACGGCCGACACCCCTGAAATCCCCAAAACTCTGGGTGGACTTGAAACTGATTCCACTTATGGGCTCACCATACCTCAGTAAGTGGGTGAGGACAAGGTGCAGAAAAAGGATCGACGGCATCAAGGCATTACACACACACGTACTCACAAAGCTGATGGTCTTGCTCAGTACTATATTTTTTTTATCACAAAGTGTAGCCTTGTAGCGGAGGAACTATTATGTACTTACGAATGTTGACCTCCGACTATCCACCTCAGGCGCAAGTCCACTTCCGCACGCCTGCGTCAAGCGTCACCTCTCCCGGTTAATGATTTCTTCCAAGGCCACTGTACTGGTCCAGACAATGTCTCGGCACATACAGTCAACTTCGCTTATAACGACACTCGGCGGGGCATCAGAAAAGCGTCCTTATTCGCGAAGTGTCGTTATACCCGAAGTCGCATTACATGTGTACAGGTAGTATGGCCATATATGGACTTTGCTCTGGGCATGGAAATTCTGTCGTTATTCGCGAATTGTCGGTATATCCGCAGTCGTTATAAGCGAAGTTGACTGTATCCCTGAATGTGTGCAGTAATGAGCTGGCAGCCCCGGTGACGAAACTAGTCCGTGTCTGCTTCCGTCTGGGAGTTGTTCGAGGCTTGGGCGGATTATGCTCGCGAAATCATGGAATTATGCTGTCATGGATGCTCGCATTATGCTCGCAAAATCCTCATATTAGTATTATGCTTTGGCACGCGGGTATACAGTAACATATGTACATGTATTCACTTTCGGATGGTACAGCACTGTATGCCACGTCACGACAACCCGCCGACCTGCAGGCTAAAGTTGGCTCTCTACAAGCGACGCTCAACAACTACAATAATTACTTGGTGACCTGCGGACGTCGCTGGCGCATCAAGTTCGTTCGAACCAGCCAAGAGCCAGTGTGTGCTTCCCTGTGACGACCACAGTGCACTAGTTTATGAGAGTAGTAGGGATTTGTACGCCCCATCCTTAAAAAAATCATGTGAATAGTACTCACCACTGGTGATGGTGGGTGCTGCTAAGGGGGTCACAATTAGCCCGCCTTGACCGAGTCCAGGAGAAGGCCATGAACACCATTGGCCCAGGCACTCTGCTCCGGAGCCTCCCGCTCCGCAGGAGCGCGGCAGGTCTAGCCTGCTTGTACGAGCTGCAGTAGCTAACCTTGCTGGCCCTCCCCAATTCACCACTCTCGTCCCTCCACCTGCCACCCCGAGCAGTACACGTAGAACAAGGAATTTGCTGAGGATGAGAGCGAGCACTGTGTCACCAGCGGCATTGTGTTCGGCACGACGGACACCACATCACTACTCAATGACATCAGCAAAACGGGAGTCGGGAGCAGTGCTGGATGTTGCTGATGGTACATTGAAGTGCCGCGACCAAGCCTGCATCAATGATCATTCGAACATCTCCATAGAGCTGCCAGATAGTGATGTCCCAAGTATCGTGCAGCAAGAACAACTGGACTACATTGGACTGGAGATATCAATATCCGGTCCGGATGAGGTCATAACTAACGTGTGTACGAAGCTAACACCTGGTCCGGGACAAATACAGACCCGACATACTCCATTGCGAACTGGATACTTCTGGCCTCTACAACATCTCAGTCAAGATTGGCTGTGTCCATCTGAAAAGGTAGTCCACAGAAGATGGTGGTGTCGGCTAACGTTCCTTCAAT